ATAAATATTGAATTTATTAGTACAATGTAATACTATATGATAATGAAATTTCCATTTGAAATGTTTTAGCTTGTGAATGTAATCCTGAAGGATCAGCTACACAACAGTGTAATCAAACTACTGGACACTGTAATTGTATGTTAGGAATAGGCGGTGATAAATGTGACTCTTGTGCAAGAGGATATTTAGGTAAAGCTCCTAATTGCAGTCCGTGTGGAGAATGTTTTGAAAACTGGGATCAAACACAAAAAGAGCTTAGTGGTAAAATATAATTATATATTTATGTAGTAGTAATCTTTAAGATTATTGATTCCATTATTAATTTTCTTATTATATTAGAACAAACGGAGAAGGTATTTAAATCAGCATCAGAAATAAAAGCTACCGGAACTACAGGTGCTTATAATAACCAATTTGAAACTATGGAAAAGAAAATATCTGAAGTAAGAGATATATTGCAAACAACTACAAAAAGTTCAACAGATCTTCAAACATTAAATGATGTTATTGATCAACTCAGGTATTTATAATACACCAATATACTATACATGTATACAGGTATAATAGTTTATATCTACTTATAACTGCTTTTGTTTTATTATTAAATACAGAATTAATCTTACTACTATGGATCAACTAAATGTTGTTACAAAAACAATTGATAATACAATGCAAAGAGTTATTTTGGCTAATTTAACATTGGGAAACCTTAATKCAAAAGCAATCAACTTAAAAGAAACTGCACTAAGCTTAAGAAATAATTCAACACAACTTCAAGAACGAAATGTTGAAGGTAAAAAGAATATATACAAGAGTTCATATTGCTTATACATAGATGTTTAACAGCTTTGTAAAATATATTTTCTTATGTTAATAAGAAAACTATGGTCTAATTAAATACTAAGATATTATATTTTGAATTAAATATTTTTGTAAGGTGCTTTAAACTTAACCAAAGAAGCATATGAAAAAGCAAAAACATTAAAAATAGAAGAGAATATTCAAGATAAATTATTATCTGATGCTGAACACCAGTGTAAAAGAACTGAATTATTCTTTGGTCGAAATGTTAATTCCTTTAATCAAGGTATTAAAGACAATGAACTCGCATTGGAAAAATTAAATGAAGAGATGAACAAATTGAATCAAGAAATACCTAAATTAAACCAACAGGTATGGTGCAAAAATATAAATAATTAAAAATCTACATTGATTTTATTATATTATATTATGTCTAATGAGTAATGATAAATATWTTTTTTTTAATAGATTTGCGATAAAGGTGGTGAAACTTGTGACAAGCTTTGTGGTGGTGCAGGCTGTGGTTTTTGTGGTGGTTTATCATGTGAAGCCGGTGCTACAACTAAAGCAGAACGTGCTTATAGCTTTGCTAAAGAAGCACAAAAACATATACGTGACAAAGAAKCAAAAGGCGAAGAGTTGTTTAGAGGTGTAAGTGAACAAATTTATTTATTATTATAATTTTTMTTTTGAACCTTAACATTTTTTTATTAAATGCAGTTATCTCAAGCAAATCAAGAATTAAATTTGACGTTGGCCAATGCTAAAATCATATCAGAGGTGGCAAAGAGGGCGCAAATACAATCTCAAAGCATTCTAAATGAAAGTTACAGTTTAATTGATAGGCATGATAAATTTTTGAATCCTTCAGGAGTCCAATCTACCGATGTTGCAATGAAAGTTGATCAAGTAATATATCATATTTAATTATTAATGACTTAATGTGTGAAATATGATTTGTATATTTATTATAGGTTCTGAAATTAAATATTAACTTAAAACCCGAACAATTACGTCAACTTTCAGAAGACATAAATAAAACGTTATCTCTACCAAAAAATATTGATACGATTATAAATGAAACTGCTGGAGATTTGTTATTAGCTAAAACCTTGAATGAAGATGCTGAAATGAAACAGTAATTTACAAATACAAAGATAATTATTTTTATTGTTAATGTTATATTTAATTTAGGATGGCTGCTAAAAACATACTTCAGGTCGCTGAACGCGTTGAAACAGCTTTAGCGGAAGCACAAAGTATACAAAAAAATGTCGATGATGGTATAGTAACAACAAATCAAAATATTGAGAATGCAGTTAATAGCATAACAAATGTTAGTAATCTACTTCTATAGTTAAAATAGTCATCATTAATATTTTGCAAGTTTCTTCTTGTGATATTTATTCAACTTTTGTGTATTTCATAGGTTAAAACAGAAACGGGCGTTACTCAAGAAAATATTCAGAAAGTTTTAGATGAAATCAATGCTATAGAAAGTAAATTGAAAACACTACAGACCGGATTTTTAAAAAATGTCAGAGACGCCAATGAGGTCAAGTCGGAAGCTAGCACTTTGATACAAGAAGTAGAAGATACTGAAAAGAAAGCATCGCAACTATTAGCTTCTTATTATGAGGCTAGTAACAAGTTAGACAACCGTGCACAAATCGCGAAGACCACGAAAAATAATTCACAGAGTTTATTAGAAAAAGCTAGTCAACTGTCAGCCAACACTACTTTGAAATTGAGAGAACTAGGAGGTAAAGAAATTAAGTTATGAATAAATCGACAAAAATAAGATATTTAGATATACTTTTAAGTAGGTAGGTATGGTTAGTCAGTGCTTAGAAAGAGCGTTCAAATTCAAAGTAATCCAAAATCCCAATGATTTCGTTCAATTTTTGAGGAACACGAACAATCTTATTTATTCATAATACATTCTTAAATATAGGAAATTTAAATAACTTTTATGACAAATGTTTTTAAAATTTATATTTTTAAAAATTTAGTCAATATTTAATGAGTATATTTCCTATATTATACGATAATATTATATGGTAGTATTGATATTCCTTATAACATATTTGAGTAATTTACGGGGATCTTAACTTGAATAAAACATTAATTAATTTAATATTTTAAAATTAAAATAACTTCCTAATGAAACAATGACTGCTAAAAATATATATAAATTCAATTTCAAAATTATCGAGAAACGAAAATGTTCTTTATTCAGGAACAAAGAAGGAAACTAGTTTTTTGCTTTAAGCCAGGATCGTAATATAGGTAATTAARTTCTTTTTGGACAAAATGAATGTGAATTAATATTATTTTTAAAGGAACTTTTCAAGCATTGAAGTTAGTCACAATAATAACATTGAATTAACAATAATAACTATTTTAAGTTTTAACTAGGTAATACGTAATAAGTATACTGTTAAAATAAATATGCTTACCTATTTCTGTTTTTGTCTTCAGGGTTTTTGTTTTAATAGAATAATTAATTTGTTCTTTCATGGTCAATTCTACCATATTGTAGTATTTTTAAATTAGTATTTTTAATATTCTATTATAAACAATATTAGTTATCTAAAGTTTTCTTCAACATATTATTATTTTTTCTTAMGGTACCTATCATTATTATGATACTTATATCATCTATTTATTACTAGGGTAAAAATATAATGTTTTCTGTCTTACATGTTAAGTAAAGTAAACATTTTTCTCCTTATTTTACTTGTTGTAATTAAACTATTGAAATTAAGGTATTATAACCTATTGTTTATTTATTTATTAATGCCTAGTAAAGCAATTTAGTTAGTAGGAATAACAATAAATAATTTTAAATAATACAATAAAAACAAAATTTGTGAGTAATAATAATAATAACACACAGACAATAAAATAAATAAATAATAAAAAATACATAGAATRACAATTGTTGCAGTGGCCATGAACTGTTATGTATAGAGGCAGTCAACTCGTTTGCTAGCTGTATATGCCAGCCTATAGAATAATTGGGATAATGTATATGTCCATAAACAGAATCTATTACATATTATTAAATATTAATAATTATTTTTGTTTATGTGTTTACAAATTCAAATTGTTTTAGATGCTGAACAAATAATTATTAATCAAGAGGAGTCAATTTCAAAGCTTATTAAAGATGTAGATGAATTGTATGGAATGATGACCGAAAATTTAGATAAAATCAGTTCACAATCTGACCACTATCGGACGTGCAACAATTAGTAAAAATGATTGCAGTAATATTTTATTTCAATTGTTGAGTGTCATATATTTATTTTAATAGTTTTCATTTTTTAAATTGTGTTTATTTATTTTACTTATATTTTATGTTCTTTTCACGCTGTATTATATTTAATAATATTATGATATTTATAACATAATTGTGTTCATTACATTTAAATATAGACTACTTAGTTTCTGACTGAGAAAATAATATTTTATACACAAACAATTTA